CTTGCAAAGACATCAGGAAAACACAATCCTTCTTGGAGGAACTGGGATGGAAGGACTAAGGTCTGTTTGCACGCAAAATAGGCACCAAGTGTCGATTTGTGGAAAACACAAGAAAAAATAAGAAGAAGAAGAGCCCTCAGATGTCACCCACGTTCTGCGTGCAACCCATCGACCAGTGTAAGTGAGCTATCAAAACATCTCTCACATTCCGTATGCGGGCACCATAAAATACTTTTCTATTATGAGCATTTTATCTTAGGAAGTGGACCAAATATCAAATTAATTGAAGATTAATTGAAGAATTGAATTGAAAATAAAGTCCAAATAAATAAAGTGATCAGAGAATGCTAATCGTTTCAACGTAATCGGTTTAGTAGTTACTGCTAATTAAAATATGTGATAAATTCACAAAAACAAGTGTAGCACAAAAGCAAATAAACATAAATCTGTTCTAAAAGGATATAGCAATTTCAAAGGGAGTCAGAAATTCGGAACTGAACAATGCAATAAACGAAATTCAGTAATCTATGGGAGGTAAAGTTTCAGTTTTTTGTTTATTTGTTCGTAGTTGTAATCTCGGAAACAATGATTATATTTCACTGATTATATTCGGATTATTAATTGTGAATTGTATGTTTACCTAATATTATTTGAATGCTGTGCACAATTGCATCTCAAGCATATCGGTTGCAAGCTTACTTGTTACTTGAAAGGTCTTGATATAAATGTATTGGTTTTTGGTTTGTAAACTGTTATTGTGTCTTAATAAATAAATAACATTGAAATTCTTTCACCTACGCGAAACTACATCATACGCGGTAACATAGTTTATTATTTACATGGGCAAAATCGCGGGGAAACTCCTATAATATTCAATAGGGATGACGACTAATTTTTGTTTGTTTCTCCGTCAGGTAGAGTGTTGAAAAATATTAAAAACGTATTTTTTAATGTTTTTCGTAATCATAAAATTACTGCGATACATGGAGTTCAAATTTAGCATGACGTCACGTTATGGTACGTTTTCTACAAAACTGTGACGTAGCAAGCCCCTTCTCCTCAACTTTAATGCCAACTATTTCTCGTTAAATTAAAGTAAAAAAAAATTGAATTTTTTATCCAGTCGTCATCTCTATTAACGCTCAAATTAAATTAAGCTGAAAGTTCTCGAAGCATTTCTTTTTATTTTTAAACAATCGTTTCATTTATCAAATAACCAGATGTTCATTTTAACAATGGTGAGAAGACTTAATTCTCTTAAGGTTGGCAACATGCCTGTATAGGCAAAAAATTGTCATTAACTTTATTATGAATCCGGTAAAACGTTTATTTTATATAATTTAAGATGCGAACTTGATCTCATGAAGCTTCACGGTTATTTGTATTAATTTTAATTTTATAACGTTCCGAGTTATTATTAAATTATCAATAAATTATCATAATCCACACATTTTTGGGGTTCCTACCCAAAGGATAAAAAGGGAGCCCTGTAACTAAGACTTCACTGTCTGTCTGTCTGTGTTTTTAAAGGACAGGGGACATTTGGAATTTAAAAAAATATAAAATAAATATTTAAAAAGGTTCCAATACAAATCACATGATTGTTTTTGCTGTTTTTTTTTACAATTAGAGTTGTTATAATATTTTAACAATTAAGTATATTACTAATTGGCTGATCCTGCGAAGTTAACCGCCTTATCTTGCTTATATAATATTATAAAGACAAAAGATTAGATTATTTGTTTGCTTTAAATATGGCCCGAAAGTGTTGGACAGATTTTAAAAATTCTTTAATCTACGAGTAGCTACATCATACGCTGGCCATATTGGTTATAATTTACGCGGTCTAAATCGTGCGAAAACAGATATTTAGCAATTGATAAAATATATTTTATGATACTTAAAATGTAGTTTTATATATGTGAAAGAATTTTTAGAATAGACCCAGTAGTTACCAGCTTATTAAAAAGAAAAAAAGCTTTCCTTTACTCATTTTTTTTTTCTTTATTCCTTTAATACTACTTAAAAAGGACATTACATTAGAAAAGAAACATCGAAAAGGTGAAAAGGTGGCGTTATTGCTAAGCAGAAATTTTTATTCCAGGCAACCAATGATAGTTAAGAAAAATAAATAAATAAGGAGTAAAAAGAGGGGGGAGTGGGTGCAATAACGATAGGGATATTAAACAGATATATCTAAAGGAGGAGAAATAATGTAACAAAACATATATATACATATATATATATATATATATATATATATATATATATATATAATAACTCAAAGGTGACTGACTGACATAGTGATCTATCAACGACCGGACCAGATCGGACTGAAATTTGTCATGTTATGACGTAGGCATCCGCTAAGAAAGGATTTTGATCAATTCTATCCCCAAGGGGATAAAATAGGGGATGAATGTTTGTATGAAACTTTGTCAATTTTAAACTGATCGGGCTGAAACTTTGCGTGCTTAAAGCTACTATCACATAGGCATTCCCTAAAAAAGGATTTTCATTAATTCTATCCCCAAGGGGATAAAATAGGAGATGAAAAATTGTATGAAATTTTGTCAATTTTAAACCAATCGGGCTCAGACTTTGCACACATAAAGCTACTATGGCGTAGGCATCCCCTAAGAAAGGATTTTGATAAATGAAATTTTATTTCAGGTATTTCACACGATATAATGAATAAATATTCGAAATGCTGCTTAAAGTCTCTTTATCACGCGGACGAAGTCGCGGGTAAAAGCTTGTTTATGATAATACGGATGATGGCTAATTTTTGTTTCGTTTGTCCTTCAGGTAGATTATTGAAGAATATAAAATACTTTTTTTTATTTTTTTATTTTGTGTAATCCATAATTGACGGCTGTAGATACATTGAGTTGTAATTTCGCATGACGTCACGCTTTTTGCACATTTTCTACAAAACTATGACGTAGCGAGCCCCCACTCCTCAACTTAAATGCCTATTATCTCAGCCATTGCTTGTTTAAATTGAAGCAAAAATATGTATCTAATATTTTACTATTAACTGACTGACGGACTAAATAGATATTTTTTTACCCAGTCGTCATCCTTATTACGCGGATGGAAGAGTACCAAAAACACAGTTAAATAATTGAAAAGTAATATGAAAAATATAAATTAAGAGTGCCAAAGTCTAAATTAATACATAAGTATTACAAAAAATCTTCTACCAAATCATAAAGACACAATTGTAAATCTTACTAATGGTGATTAGCATATCTAATGAAGACGAAAGGCTTTAATTGAATCGTCAGATCTGAAAAACAAGATGGAGACAAAGACTACACGGTAATTTATTCTATATAAATTAATAGTAGGTTTTGTATGAACTATTACAATATCTAAAAAAATATTGAAACAAAATGCAATAGAAGACAAAACTGATTATTATAGGTTTATTATTTCATATCACCGGGTACTAATAATATTTTGAAGTGGTAATATTTCTAACTTTGCTTGATTGTTGAGGGTAATCTACAGGATCTTTCACGGACGTTATACCATACGCGGGTGACGTAGGCTATAACACTGCGGGTGAAGTCATGAAAAAACAGCTGGTGTTTAATAAAACTGAGACAATATATATTACGGTTTTTAATTGCAGTCGTCGAAAAACTGGTTCATGTACATATTTTTATTATAAGTGTCATAGGTTTTAGTTTATATTATATTATTTCTAATAAGACTCAACTGACGAATCTGACGACGCATAAAATATTATAATCATAAGAAAAGATCTCAAACCATAACCCGAGTCATTTGAAAGTTGTTTAGACACCAAAAAACCATATTTATACCATGTACTTTATACAATGCGAAAACAATGAGATCTAACTATTTTTTTCACATCACGAAAATAAAAATACGTTACCATATTATTTTATCAAAAATTGTAATTTTATAACAAGTTTAATTAATGACCGAAATGAAAAGTTTAAAAACTGATTAATGTTTAGTGCCAAAAACGTAATTGCTACACGTGCAAATTAACATCGACACCTGGAGGCCTATTATGTTTCTCCGCAAATACTTCGTTGTTGATAGGTACTATCTCCGTAAACGAAATTCCGTCTATTTACGAAATGCTAACCTACCAATGACATATAATTTTCGATAATTTATGATGGAGGTAGAACCGGACCGATCGAAAACCGCATCAAAATCCGTTGCCTAGTTTTAAAGATTTAAGCATACCTACGGATATAGGGACAGAGAAAGCGACTTTGTTTAATACTATGTAGTAAAGTTTATTACTTTTTTTAAACCGCTATTAAGTAACCAAAGTACTTTTGTAAACATAATCATAATAAAGACATACCAGAGACCGAGAAAACTAAGGTACCTAATGGAGTATCATCAAAGTAGAGAGTAATACGGTGTTTGAAAAACATCTTTTATGACATTTGCTTATCACGCCAGACTCTTTCCGAGGTAAGCAGAGAGATCGAGAGGTCTAAATCAGCGCCTCACACTCTTTTGGCAAACGAGGAGAATTCTCCCTGTTGGTGAATGATCAAAGTTTCAGTAAAATATATAATATGCAATTCATTAATAACCGTTTTATTTATGCTCCGTGTAAGATTTTTTTCAAAGGGTTCCATCCAGTGATATATCGTCAGAAGTTTGGGATCCACTGATCAAATTTTCATTTTGAAGATTTTCAAAATAAAACGTTAACTTGCCATTTTTTGGAAGTTTACAATACTACCTACTTATTATATATATTTTCAATTCACGATTTTTTTTCATCTCATCAAATTTAATGTTTTAAAATTACAATACATAGTGCAAATTAAATTATAAGTAAACAAAATACATGTTAAAGAATAATCGCAAATACAAGCGCGATTAAAGATTTAACGAATGCCGAAAGATGCCTCAATAGATCATGTTTGAAAGACAACTGTTTAAATAAATATTCATCATTCGTGGCGGAGAAAATTTAAACTACAATATGTACTCACGCGGTGTGTCCGAAACATCCTCATCCATTATGGCCAGTTTGCTTGGCCGTTTGTCGTCTTCATGCTTCAACCCCATTTTCACTGCAAATGTTTGTAAATTAAAAATAAAGAAACGAAAGCGTCAAAAAACGCGCGCTTTATTTTCGTAAATGGAACACTGTTTTTTTTTTCACTACAATATTATTTCTGTCCAATGTTTTTGATCGGCGTATCGAACATGAAATCTTTACGTCGTTTTAATACGCGAATGCACGCTCGTTAAACCGTCATGGCCGGCACAGGTGGAGCGTGTGTTTCACCCGCAAAGGTTGCAGCGAACTGTCACGGTACAACGAGCCAGCCTTGTTTTTAAGCCACGCAACTTGCCGGCGCGCAGACATTGACTATTCGTAGGTGTTTCCTAGGACAAAGTGCTCTTTAAACAATAATATAAGTATCTATTACTGTTATCCAAGTACGGAGTAGCTCGGTAGCGTAGTAGATATAAGTGCCGCGGACCACGATGGTTGTTATTAAGCAACTTACGCAAGGGTCTGTTACGGGATGGGTGCCCAAAAAATTTTAATTTTGAGCTACTCCTTGCTTCGGAAGGCATGCTAAGCCGTTGGTCCCGGCTACATTGCATAGTTCATAATATCCTCCAGTCCACATTGGGCCAACATGGAGGGTCATGGCCCATCCTCCTTAACCATCCATAAGGAAACCTGAGCCTCTGCAGTGGGGACGTAAAAGGACTGGTGATGACGACCCAAATACAAAATATCTGAAATGGTATATTATTTTTAATATTGCTATTTAATTTTGCCATGGAAAGCATAATAGAAAATTAATTACATAAAAAAATGCTATTGTTTATCCCAATCCTGTCATAAACTTGCTTTTCCTTTCTTACATGACGTTAATTAAGCCTTTACGAAGTAAAAAACCCTTGGGTGGGGTTTTATTTTATTAGAATAAATGAAATTTTGTCAAAAAAAAATTATAGTTTCTAAATGACTACCTGATGCACAAATTCTGGCAATAACAACTGTGAAGTCACAAACACCCTAACGCGAAACAAACTATACTTCAATACCGCAAGCGGTAGTGAGCTACTTGGAAATATGAAGAACGTTTGGAATTCAATAGAAATTTGTTTATTTTTCTTTTTTTTTTTCAGTATTACAGACCATTGTTTCCGATTTTGTAATTATTTTATTTTATTATGTTGCAAGAAATTATTATTTTAGGAAATAATATTTTAAGTTCTTTAGTTTTTTAATACGAACAGAAGTTTAAGAAAGGCATCATAACTTAATTGATTTCATAATCTGTTTTACTAAATACACAATAGAACTAAAATTGATTAGATAAGCTTTAGACATTATATTATACTTTCGTAATATAATATCTAGAGCTATAATGATACTTTTTTTTGTTTATTTGGATCAACAAACAGTTTTACAATAGCGTTACAATTTACGATATGATGTACACAGTTTTCTAATTGCAAACACCAGCACCGTCAATCACAAGCTACTATGAGTAGTTGAAAGTTGCTTTTGTTATCAGCTTCATATTAACAAAACAAGAATACTACACAAACAATACTGTTACAAATATGATTATATATATATTACTTTAAAATATGATAATCTATATTACTTTAGAATTATTCATTGTTTACTATTGAACTCAAATGGTGAGAAATAATACTTGTCTTACAAGCGACTTCATTCAAAAAACTGCTATTGAAGTTGGGCAGTTATCATTTAATTATCTACAGAAAACCTCCGTCCGATTTCAATAGCAAATCTAAAAATGTTCATCATCCTGGCCAGGCCAGGTCATGTGGTCAAACTGATTAGATTACTGAAACTATGGTGAAAATTGGTAAGTTTTTTCAAAATAGATGCATGCTGCATACCCTACCCCAAATCACGCACGCCTCTGCATAAGCTGTCTAATGAAAAAAAAAACAATTAACTCGGTTCATAAACGACGAAATTATCTGCAAAGTAATTTTCTCCTGGATTTAAATTATTTTATCTAGGTCAAGGCACACAACGTAACCCTAGAACAGTGGTTCTTAACCGGTGATCTATGAACCACTGTTGGTCCCTGGTAGCATCCCAAATCGCTGCAGAACAATATAAAATTATGAATTTATGCGCACTTTATGTTACAACGAATAAGAAACATCCCTAGTAGTAATTATTATCTTTTAAATAAAAATAATTACAACAAATTGTGTAAAATATTGTAATAATCTCGAAATTACGTACATTCAATAGGTTCATGTTAAGATAAAAATGTTACAAATTATCGCAAGCATAATCGTCTTCTCAATTAATCTAACAATTAATATCTAATTTAATTCTAACGATATCTATCATTTATGGAAATCAATAACCCCATAATTGTGATATTTAATGTGCATATGTGTACATTAGTTGACTTAAATATTGACAGTGATTCTAATACCTATATCATCATCCAATATTCAGCCATCATTTTATCATTAAAAATATCCAATCGGTTGCCTAAATAATAATTAAAATATTTCGTTAGCATTAACAAGAAAAACAATGAAATCAGTGCACGAATAATATTTACATATCTATTCATATTCACATTTTAGAGTTCCATACCCAAAGGCTAATACGGGACCATATTACTAAAACTCCGCTGTCTGTCACCAGACTTCAAGAATGAAGCTGTATTTCAAGGTAAACAGTTGAAATTTTCACAGATGATGTTTTTATTTTGCCGCTATGAATTAATGAATACACTTTATTGGGTACAATTACAGTCATACAAAACATTTACAATCAAACACAAAAGGCTATAACAACAAATAAAAGTATAAAACTACAAAAAAAAATGAAATAAATTTTGAAGGGGGCTCCCATACAACAAACGTGATTTTTTGCGATTTTCATAGATAATGATGGTACGGGACTAGCGCACGAAGCTAGTTATGACTCGCACTTCGCCGAGAAAAAGTCTGGATACTCTACGGACACCACGCTCAAACGTTGATTATCTATTCACTAGTATAATAAATAGGAAATATTTGATTAAACGAACAATCAAATCTATCCTCTTTATAATTTGCATCGAATACGTTCCGAAACTAATGGACCGATTTTTAAAATTCTTTCATCTACATGTAGGTTTGCATTACGCGTCCGAAGTCGCGGGACAACAGCTAGTTATTATAATAAATTGTAATCTTACATAACACAATATACTTTTTTATTGCAAATAACTTATTAACTAATATGTATAGGTGGATAATAATAGATATACCTATAGATATTTGATTATTATAGCGTCGTTGACGTGATATTCTAATAATTTCAAAATAGTTGATAAAAAATTCTACCTTTTTGCGCACTGTATGGTTTTCAATATACTTCAGAAAAGTGTGTAGTTATTTTCTACTATCGAGCTCTTTAGAAAAAGATATGCCTTTTTGAAATAATTAAAAGGAAATTCAATAATCAAAAATACAATTTTATATTTAATAATGATCTTTTTAAGCGACTTTAATATTTAAAAGTAGAATGTGCTACTTATGCTCGGCGATTAGGTTTGTATTTTGTTATGTATGTTCATCGATTTCACTGCGGATTATAAACCGATTTTTAAAATTCGAATACTTACGGGACCACCCGCAAGCTTTCTAATCTTGAAGAATATATCTTAATCTGATTAGCAGTTCTTTTTATATCAAAATAACTGGAAGAGTTCTGCCAAATAACCGAAATACAATAATAATTAATAGACAACATATATATGTCAAAAATCGCGTATTTTATTTTCCTCTTATTAACAGTAATTTTTTTATATCATAAAATATTAAATAAAATTATTGAAAAAAAAATATAGGTAACATTGATATAAACAATCTCCGCCCTAACGCTTGTATTTTTAATCTTGAAATTAGTATTTAAACTATAAATAATAAAAAGTACTTTAAATTTTGTATTCAAGTTTGTAAATCAGAAATTTTGTATACTTTTATAGAATTTAAATACTTTTCATAAACCATTTTGTACATCTCAGTTTAAGAAGGTAAGATAAGATAATTCGCACGTTGAAAATGACAATGTCACTAACCAAAAACAACGTATTCTTTACTTTTGGTAACATTTTTCTTTGTTATGTATAAACTTTAAAATGCATAGAACCCTGTGAACGTAGTTTGCATAGAAAGTGCTAGGTGGCGTAGTGACGATACGTTGTTTAGAGGGCGGAATACAATTTCTTGAACTTTAAACGCTCATTATTGAAAATTGTATTTTTTGTATTGTGTCACTATCGTTCTCAGCGTAAGAATATGAAAGATAAAATAATTTTAGGATTCAATCGCTTTTGTATGTGACTCGCTATTAAGTACACCTTACCACTTTACCTTGAAAATTTGCTTTCACATCGAAACGAATTTATTCGACCAATAATATATTATGTGCTTGGCTCGTAATAAAAGAATGCGATCAATTTTCAAGGTATTATTAATATAAACGAACTCCATTGTCGTGGTTTAATCAAATTTTCTTATATAAATCGAAAATAATGAAGAGAATAACGTCGTAAGCGAAGTATTACTATAACTAGGTATCTAATAAATAAAACTTTCTGGACACTTCAAATTACCCATCGCAGTTACATGCTATGTTAATTAATGGACTGAAGTAATGACGATGGATGTCAAAAATGTCGGTGTCAGATTACTTCTTACCTAACTAATACGAATTAACATCACACCTGAGGGTGAAAATTCGGAATATTTCGAATCGTTCGATTTCGACCTCCGTTGCATCATAAACTATCGTAGAATGCAATTCTTTAAAGCATTTTGAAAATAGACTAAATTTCGTTTTCGAGCAAATGTAATAAACCTTGAGGTTTCATGTTAATTCGTACGTACGAGTAAATAAAGCTATAGTTGTAAATTGCATCTATAAGAATCCGTGACGGGTCACTAGCAAATAATAGTCCAATTCAATGAAAAGAAAAACTCTTAATCTAAATAATGGTACCAAATATTATCACCACTAAACAAAAATAGAATAAAAATAGAATAACAAAAATAAAAATACAAGTGGTACATATTAGTCTGCACTGCACTTGCAAATAAGAGAGTTAAGTTGTGGTGTATGATAGTATAATTCTATCCTTTTATTATACATTGTTTGACTCATGATTAAGGTTATGCTGACGACAAGCGACAATGTTGATATTTTCCAAATGTTCTAATTCTGAGTGTTCTAGAATATTCCAGGCTATTTCAATATTTTCTAGAGCTTTCCAAATGCTTCCAGACTGTCCTGGAAAT